GGGGGGGGGGGGGGGGGGAGTCATCCAGGGTTGCCGTATAGTGGGCACGTTTGGTGGAGAAAAAAATGAGCCGTCGACGGACGCACACGATAGAGCAGAACGCCCCTAGCACGCTAGGTGTCATCAACCTGTCTTCCCGCCCTTAGCCCCAGCTGCGCGTGGCCCTGCAGCCACCCAGCCAGCCCTGCTCACTGCGTTGAGGTCTGCCGTGATGATGTCAGCCGTCCCTGGCTTGACCACCTTGATCACCACCTCTTTGCCACTGCCAGCCAGCACCGCAGCATGAACCTGCCAGGGTGAGCGGATAAGGTGCAGCCAGGTACGGGGCGGATGCTGGGTCGCAGCACAGCACACGCCCGATCTGAGGATTGCACTCTCTTGGGACTGAGGCACGAGACCTCAGAGGTCTCAGGAGACCTCAGAGCAGCGTCCCTCCTTCAGTGCCCCCACCACCATGCATCGCTCGTCCCTCCCCTCGCCCCCGTCCACACACCCCTCCCCCACCCCTCCCCTGCACCTCTTCTCAGCCTTGGCCCCCCTCATCTCTTTGCCCCTTGGGCCACGGTCACCCACCTGCGCTATGCTGGCGCTGGCCAGGGGCCTCTCGTCCACTGACGAGAACACGCTCTCAATGGGCGCCCCCAGGTCTGCCGCAAGGATGGCGCGCACGGTGGCGTAGGGCACGGGGTCTGCGCGGTCCAGGCAGCCCTGGAACTCCTCCACGTACTCCTCCGGGAACAGAGAGGGCGCGCTGGCAATAAGCTGGCCCAGCTTGATGAAGGTCACGCCCAGCCGCTCAAACAGCTTGCGCAGCACAACCTGCGGCCGGCCCCCGGGCAGCGGGCGCATGAGTATGTTGAGGCGCCCGGATGAGGCATGGGGCCGGAGACGTGGTGCCGGCGACTCGTGTGCGTGCGTGTGCATGCGTGTGTGCGTGCGTGCGCTCGCGTGCGTGTTTGTTGTGCGTGGGGGATCGAGAAGGCGAGGGTTTGACGGGCAGGGTGCAGAGTGGGGGGCTCCTCAAAATCCCCAGCATAAAGTGCGTGCACTGGCCGTTGCCCTTGGCACACAACTTCCCAGTCTAATCAAAGCCACAGCAGCCTAGGCGCCACTTTGATGCCCCGCAATACCACAGCACCCACCTGTGGCGGGTCCACCCGCCCCGCTGCCACATACTCGGCCACCAATCCTGCCACAGCGCGACCAGCTTGCAGCGAGCGCAGCACTCCCCGCGGCCCTGTGGCCAGGGCCACGTCCACCACCTCCCTGAGAAGCTCTTGAAGTTGCTGGGCCTGGTCTGGGCGCCGCCGTGTTGCGCTCGCGGCAGGCGCCTCTGCAGTCGCTGCCCGCACCACTAGCCGCTGCAGCGGCGCGTGTGTGATGCCGCGTGCATCGGCGCGTCGCCTTGCACCTGCATGATTTCTTGAAAATCTGCGAGTTACCGACTTGGCGTCCAGCATGTGCATGGCGCGCCTTGCTTGGGTTAGCGAGAAGGTTGATGTTTTGTGTTGAGCGTGCCGAGAAAGTGCCACGCTTCGGAAACGATACTGAAGAGTACTGCGATCCCAATACAAACTTGCAAACTTCCCAGGAGTAATCTGCGGCGATGTGCAGTCGAGTGGGGTGCCCAGCAAGTGCCGCGGCAACCGAGCACTACGGTGGCGAGCTGCCGCCGGCATGTGGATAAGGGGAGCCAGGGTGCCACTGACAACCTTACACCTCACTGCGCCTGTTATCCACCGCTGTATGATGGACGTAGATGCATGTAGATGTGACATGAAACTGCAGGACAGCCCTAGCTCGAAGCAGCGCATAAAATGGGCCACAGTACGCTTGCTGAAGGCCGGATCAGCAGGCATGATTACATGTAGAGAGGTTGTGTTGTGGGCATGACTCAGCGGCAACAGATGTGCTCCTTCTTGTGTGACGTGCACACAGGCTTCCAGGTTTGAGGTTGGTTCCTTCGACACGCGCTGCCAAGAGAGACAGGAAACTGAGCGGAGCTCTCTAGCAGCACAGTGGGCAAGCCATGCACACTAAACTTGCCGCGGCCTGGCGCATTTCTGGGCTTGAAAAGAGGTTTTATATGGTAGTAGTTTGACAAGGTCAACGGCGCAATTGCAAAGCCGGGGTAACAACGGCAGTGTTCAAATTGCGCCGCTCGTCAGAGGTCCTCCAGGGTTGAGGTGCACCGCAGCCCCATCACAGGCAGGGGAGAGGAGTAACCAGCGGGACTGCAACATTTCCCCCCAGCATCACAAGTGCCATGCACAATTCCCAGCACAGCATTGCAGGCCAGCGGTATGGCCTGCAAGGCGCCAGGTGGCGCCCACCTGCCGCCCGGTGTTGGAAGCGGACGGCAGGGGCTTCTTGGTGCTGTTGCACATTTTAGTAGGTCCATCAACCTCGCAGCAATGGATCGCCCGTCCTGCGCTGCCGCGGCCCCGCCCTTTGGGCAGGCGGGGGCGCAAGGCGGCGTCGGGGGTCAGCAGCCGGTCATGAGTCGCGAGGGCAGAGGCAGAGCCGCGGAGGGGCTGCTCGCAAGTTCTTGAACTGAAGCTGGGTGACCCCGCAAAGCGCAAGCCAGCTCAACTGAGGCTGCGGCGGAGGAGCGTTGAAGTTTGAGTTTGAGGGCTCCAACCGTCAAGACCTGCAGCCCCAGCGCGCCAGGCGGCCGGCGAGCGCACATTCATGCATGCAGGAGCCCGCCGTTGCAATCGGCGCCAGCCAGTGCGCAAGGTGACAAAGCCGGCAGGCGGGTGCACAGATAGCGAGACGGAACGCAGACTGGGTACAGGGGGGCGTGCGCCGAGTACGCGCTTGGAGCAGTGTCAAAGGTAGCGCAAGGGCGCGGCGCCATCTGGCAGCCCAACAGCATGACGCATTAGGCGTGGGCCACAGTTGCGGGAGGGTCCTGCTTCATGCGGCGGACGACTCAGTGGTGTGAGTCAGTGCATGCGCAGAGGCCGGCATGGCCATCAGTGTTGAGGGTGTGCTGGCGGAAGTGCGCAGGTGCTCCCAGGTGGTCAGAGCCACCTGAGCCTGCCGCAGGATGCTGCAACGCCCGGAGGCGACCGCTGCCGCAGCTGTGCGGCAGGGGGCACCGTCAAAGCACGCGCGCTTGGCGGGCGGCGGGCCCATGCCGGTGCCGAGGCGCTCGGCGGCTTCGGCGTCCCCTGAGCTGTCGCCGCTGTCCTCGCTGTCGCCGCTGGCGCCGCTGCCGGAAGCAGTGTCGTGTGGGCGATGCAGCCCCGGGGCCTGATGGAGCGGGACAACGCGCTCCACAGGTGGCTCACCCTCGACAGCGGCCTGCCCTCCCGCCACCACCGCTTCCTGCCGCTGCTCCTGCTCCCTCTCACCCTCCACCTGCGCGTGCCTGTCGGCTTCGCGCACGTCGGCTTCGTGCCGGCCGCCTTCAGCGCCCTGGTCACCGTCTGCGTCTCCGCCGGCGTTGCCCCCGCGGCGCTCACTAGCGCTGCTGGTGGGCGAGTCCAGGTCCGCCACACCGGACAGGCGCTGCAGCAGGGCCAGGTCCAGCCCGCTGCTGCGAGCTGCCCCGGGTGCAGCTGCCTCGGGGTGGCGGTTGGCCGCGCCCCGCGCCGACAACTCCGCAGCGCTGGTGCCGGCGCCGCCGCCAGCGGTCGCGGTTTCGACTGGGCCGGCCACGCCGTTGGCGGGCGCGGCGCCATGCATGCGGTCGCACAGGGTGCGTATGTCGGCCTCGACGCGGTGCGCGATGTCCGTCATCATCTGTACGCCAGGGGGGTGCGAGAAGGGGGAAAAGGAACCGAGAAGCTGTGGGGCGTGGTAGCAGGTGAGCGCACGCGGGGCGCGGCAAGGTGCAGTGTGCAAGGATCGCGGCTGTCTCGCGCTGCTATTGCTGCGGCGCTGCGATGCCACGTGGGATACTGCATGGTGCATCATGCAAGTGTCCAAGCCCCCATGCCCCGCTGCTGCCGCGGTACTGCGTTGCCAGGCACGCCATTGCCACTGCGCTCCTCTCCTCACGCAGCTGCACTCCTGTGCCCAACAACAACACCCCAGCTTGAGCACCAGCTGCCAGAACCGCGCCCACCTCTGTTGAGCAGAAGGGCTGTGACAGCAGGTTGCCCAGCGGCGCGCGCAGCAGCAGGCCGGTGCGCTTGTGGTGCTTCTTGAGCAGCTTGACGGTGGCGGTGTAGGCCAGGATGCTCCAGTGCACCAGCAGTAGCACCTCCCCGTGGAAGTCCACAAACTCTTGATGGAGGGGGGCCAGCTCGCGCCGGTCGCGCGCAGCCGCCGCCAGCGCGCCCTCCAGCGCTTCCACACGAATTACGCAAGTCTCCTCCTTCTCCAGCCACATGTCGTTCATGCTGGCCAGCATGGACCCCAGTGAGGCCACAAAAGACTCCTCAGCAGGGTCCGCAGCCAGCCGCTGCGCAGGCTGCCCTTGCCCGGCACCTGCCGCCGTCGGCATCAGGGCGTCCGCAGGGGCGCCGACGGCCGCCGCGCCGTCGCCGCCCGCGGCCGGTGCCGCGCCCTCGTGCAGGGCATCTTTGTCTGGTATTGCCTTGATCTGCTTCTTCAGCTGCTTGTACATCTCAAAGATCGCGCTGACATCGGGTAGGTCCTCGCTGGTCGTGCGCAGCACGTGCCTGCAGCAGAGGCAGAGTGGAGGGCGAGGAGGAGTGCAGGGTTGAGAAATTTTAGTTGGTCAAGGCATGATTGCGTACAAGCACCTCCGCATGATCAATGGCAGGGACAGTGCACCCGTCGCCCTTTCATGCAACGGAACTTGGCTCGAGTCACTATACAGGCCCATGGGGACCGCTTCGCACCCGAATTTCATCGCGAAGGGCTGGCCAGTCGGCCCGGCGCAATCTGGGCCCGCTGCTCAGGCTGGGAATGCGGCGCGGCCGTGAGAGCGCCGCCGACGCTGCACTGCACCACTGAGCGGGCGTGGGCGGCGGTGGCAGCAGCATTAGTGCACATGATGACAAGGCTATATCGCGTCGACATGCTGCTGCTGCACTCCTGTTGCACAAGATTCGACCCACACAAGGGGCGTGGCCATGGCAACACCGGGCGCCCAGGCCGCCTCTGATAACTTCTTTTAATCTTTGCAAAACGCTTAAGATGGCGCCTGGCGGCCGCGTTGCTGCTGCAGGGGGCTACAGCGCGCCCATGCTGTCTCTGCCCACCACCAACGCAGAGAGCGTCCGCTTCCAACAGTCAAACATGTTCATAGTAACTCACAGGCGCCGCACGGTGCGCGCCACGACAGCGCTGCTGCTCCGTCACTATGCCCCCGAGATCCCCTGGACGCCAGTGCTGCTTTCTGCGTTACTGTACGTGTTAGCTGAATCGTTTGTGCATTGTCGTTGGTGTGAGGTAACCGGGAGAAAACTTGGGGAAATGATTGGCGGCCGCAGTGATGTGGTCCTGGCTGTCGTCGGACCTAGCAAGCATCTTCCGTGGTTGTCAGGGCATCGCGTGACCCGGGTCCTGGAATGCACGGGAATTGATTTAGGGTGGGCTAGGCGGCCCTGACACTGCTCCCTCCTGGTGGCTTGCAGGTCAAAGAAGCAGGGCAGGTCAGCCTTCACACTGCGCCTGGCTGTCGCTTGTCTCGCTTGTGACTGCACTAGCCAACGCACGACACCTGAAGCCTACCAGACACCTGAAGCCCAACAAACAGCGCTGATCTGCACCAGCAGAACAAAGCACCTTCACTGTGCAGGTCAAGAACATGGTGAATATCCCGACATGTCAGCACACCGCAAAACAAACCTAGCTCAGACAAGCCAGGAGCAAGAGCACAACAGCAAAAAAACAGCTGCTCAAAGCAGATTGAGGAGATCATGCGGAATTGATGCAGCTGCCTCGTAAATACACACATGCACGATAAACACACACAAACATGCACACACATCTTCGGCCACACTCACACACAGCAAGTAGGCAGCACTTTCAACAGCACTTTCAACACGAGGGCAGCCGGCCGTGCACACTAGCCTTGATGGGGGCCCACCCCTCTTGCACGACAACCGGGGATGGCGCGATCCAGGCCACAGGAGGACCAGCGTTGGGCGCACGCCTAGACTGGATTGCCTGTGGTGCAGACGCAGACAACGCGTCGAGGGCGGCACGCGGCAGGGCGGTGCAGGGCCAGGGACCTTTAAATCTTGCCCCGGCGCGCCGCAGCCCTGCCCTCGCACTCCTGTCAGCCAAGTGGCCCGCCGTGCCCCAGACACACCCCTGCTGCAAGCCTCGCTGTGTTAGCGCTGCGCCGCGGCCCCCCTTTTCGCCGCCGCCACGCGCTGCTGCTGCACCGTGCCCTCCAGCTCCGGGAAGAGGGCCAGCAGGGCGGCCTCCAGCACGGCGTGCCCCAGCTGCAGGACAGCAGTGGGGCACTGCAGCAGGTCGTACAGCTCGTGCAGGCAGCGGAACCAGGCACCGCGCCCCAGCAGCGCCAGCAGGGGCCCCGGCACGGGCAGCGACAGCATCCGCCGCCGCACACCCTCGGCGTGGTGCGCCTCCTCGGGCAGGAGGGGGGCCGGCTCCAGGTAGCGCTCCGCGCTCAGGCAAGGGGCGAGCACCCGGCCCTGAGGCGCCGCCACCTGCAGCAGGGGCGGCGGCGCCTGCTGCAACGGCTCCAGCCGAGGCGGTTCCTGCTGAGTGCCAGCCACAGGTGCCAAGTCGCCGCCGCCGCCATGGCCAACGCCGGCCGCCCCACCCGTCAGGCCTGCCCGCTGATGTGCCTGGGCCAACGCTTCCTGCGCGGCTTGCCGCCGCAACGCAGCTGCGGCTATTGCAGCAGGTGTGTGCGCGTAAAAGACCCCACCCGGCCACAGGCTGCCACGCAGGTGGTCAATGGCGCCCGCGATGCTGGCGGGCGTGGTGAGCCGAGCGGCCGCGCGCGCCAGGATGCCGTCGATGGCGCCGCCGGCCACCAGTGACAGCACCTGGCGCGCCATGGCCATCACCTGGCGCCGCACCCAGCCACGGCTGCGCAGCTGCAGGATGCAGTCCACCAGCTCGTACAGCGGGGCGCTCAGGCAGGGAGCGTCGCCGTCAGAAAGTGGCAGCTGCGGCCTTGGCGCGCTGCACGACGGCATGGTCTTCACCTCGCCGTGCGGTCCACCAGGGCTCATCGGCCGCCACTGGCTTGAATCCTGAGGACACACAGCCACTGGCTCGTGCTGCCACTGCTGCTGTTGCTGCTGCTCCTGGCCCTGAGCCGCCCTACTGAGGTGTGCACACGCTTCCCGGCCCCGCGGTGAGGGCGTTTGCTGTTGCTGTTGCACCTGGCCAGGTGCTGCTGCTGCTTCTGCTGCTGCTCTGCGACCCATTGTTGCAGGGTGGTCTGCCGCTTGTGTGCTGAGGCTTTCACCCGGCCGGAAGGCATCGGTGGCCGTTGTCTGGCGCGTCACCTGGATGAGTGCCCCAGGGTCGGGGCTGACCGGCTGCCGGGGCGCGCCGCTTACAGCACCTGGCAGCAACACCTTGGGGTCCACGGTCTGGTGCTGTGCCGGGGAGGCGGGCTGTGGCGATGGCGCGGCCCAAGCCCAGGAGCTTGGGCTCGGGCTGGCAGCAGCGCCGCGCTGCCCCAGGCTACCTGTGGAGGCAAGTGGGTCGGCCACAGGGCTGGCGCCCCGCTGGAATGGTGGCTCGCCGCTCGCAATGATGCCTGCGTTGCTGCTGCCAAGTATCGGAGCTGAGCCAGCCTGGAAGCGCCACACAGGGGGCACGGATGACCCGCTGAAATAGCGACTGAGCCCTGGCCCAGTACCAGCCTCCGAGCCAAAGCCAGCCAAAGCCGGTGCAGCCATTGCTGCCTCCTCGCCGCCTGTGCTGCTGCCCGCAACTGGTGCACTGTCGCCGCTCTGGGGCCCTCCCGCCGCGAACGGGCACGCATCCTGGGCGACCACCTCCCAACCTGCGCGGCCCAGGGTGCTGAGCGACGGCCAGCTGCCGCCCCTGGCCGGCAGGCGCCCGGGCGGCAACGCCACCAAGCCGAACCCGCTGCCGTTGCTGGTGCTAACGCCGCTGCTAGCGCTGCTGCCGATGCCTTCCACTGCCATCGCCTGGTGCTGCTCGCGCGCCTCGCGCCCCTCACGTCCGCTGCCGCTGTAGAGGGCGCACCCCGGGCTGAGAAAGGCGGCCACCTCCCGGCGAGCTGCCGGGTCGAGCAGGCCGCCCACGGCGCTCAGGTAGCGGCCCAGCTCCTCGGCACGCCGCGAAGCCAGCGCCGCATCCACGCCCCCGACCGCAACGCGGCGCCGGCGTGGCAGGCCTTCGCCGAGGCCCAGATCACGATAGCGAGGATAGATGGCCTTGAGGCGCTGGTGCAGCATCTCAAAGTGGCCCAGCCTGGCGCATGGTGGGCGTGGGCGATGCACGAGGGGGCGTGGGCGGATGCACGCGCGAGCTCCTGAGTGAACGCCGTGAAGCCAACGGCACTGCATGGACAGGCCATCCTCGTCTGCCATTGGACAGACATACGGGCCGGCAACCCGCGCTGACCACGCAGGCGAGCCCCTCGCACGGCCCATTTGCGCGCCTGCGCCTCACAGTCCACTCCTTGCTGGAGCCAGCAGCGGCGATGACATACACAGCCGCCTCTTTGCCGCTGCTCGCAACTATCTCGAACCCCACCACCCGCGCAGACGGCCACCCTGCTGGAGCAGCACATGAGGGGCTGCAGGGCAAGGGTGGCCCACGACTGTCCTGCACAGCACCCAGTGGAGAAGCGGCACGAATCGTGGCCAACCGCTGGCCATTGACACCGTCGCAGGTGGAACCCTGGATTGGACCACCCATTTGCATGCGAAGCAGCCGAGCATCGCCGCTGCTGCCGCCGCTGCTTGGCGTCCCTGACGGCCATGCCGCCGGGATCAGCCCTTCGCTGACGCAGGTGCTGCTGCAGGCCCCTGGCGATCGCACGGCTGAGACGCCACAAGGAGAGCCGCCATCTGACCCACCAGGAGTCGGCACCGCTTTGCCCTTGAAACGCGTGCTGGGCGAGGTGCCGGGTCCATGACATGGCTGCAGTGCTGCATGCACCTCACTTATGCCATCTGACGGAATACCAGCATTGACGCAGTGTTCGAGCTGATGATGGTGTTGGTGCTGCTGCTGCTGCTGCTGCTGCTGCTGCTGCTGCTGCTGCTGCTGCTGCTGCTGCTGCCGACTCTGCTGCTGCTGCTGTTGTTGTTGTCGCAGCTGCGCCCCTGATGCAGCTCCCCGTGTCAGCCTGCCAATCAGAAAGGCATGAGTGAAGTTATTGTTGGGTGAGTGACATGAGCCGGCGGTGTTGCAGGGATACCTTCCAAACCCCCATGCAATCCAAGTTGACTGCCAAGCCAACGTCCTTGCCATGCTGCAATCCCTTCTGGACCTCACAGCGCAGGTGGATCGGACTCGCTGCGCCTGTGGCTGGTGACTCCGATGCCATGCGGTCCCCACGCAGCTGCTGCCGCACTGATTCCGATCCCGCCATCTGCCAACTGCTTCACGCTGCAGCTGTGGGCCATCGATGGCGTCACTGCCACCACTGTACGATGCTCTGACGACACATCACACTGGGGAACCTGCTGCTGCTGCTGTTGTCGTTGCTGCTGCTGCTGCTGCTGCTGCTGCTGCTGCTGCTGCTGCTGCTGCTGCTGCTGCTGCTGCTGCTGCTGCTGCTGCTCCTCCTGCTGCTGCTGCTGCTGCTGCTCCTCCTGCTGCTGCTGCGGTGGCTGCAGGAGAGGTGGCTGCACAAGTAGCCAAGGCGTCATGTTGTTGTCCTCATCACGCCAGCGCGCTGACGGCGATGGATTGCTGCCGCGCCTCGCCAGAGCTGAGCCCAAACCCTGACACGGAGATGAATGTGTTGCAGTCATAAGGCAATGATCCAGTGTAGGGCTGCGATAATCGCATGACCAGAAATCAAGAGACAAGGAGGTCAAGGCACAGCGCAGCCAACCTGGAGAGGTGTGAAGAGGGGGGCTGGAGGAGCCCGAAGCTGCCCTGAGGGCGTCGGCAGCTTGCCAGCCTGTTTGTTGAGGCTGGCGTGGTGGTGCTGAGTAGTGGCAGTGAAGCTGGCTGCTGGCGTGTGTTTGCAGCTTGCCCACTCGACTGGCCTGTGGTGGGGTATGGTGGCAGGTTTCAGCAAACCTGCAAATGGCAACGCAAGGGCTTGGGCTGTGCATGACATAGGCAGCCTTGGGCGTAACAAAGCCACGACCCAGCCATGAGGGCCGGCTGCTGCATGCCACGAGGTTGATGGTGGTCGTGCTCCATCCCCAGTTTGCTCACTGTGTGGAGCTTGCTCTCTCTGCCTCAGCGCTGCGACACGCGCTCTCCTCAAAGGCGGCACAGCCTGCAGCTGCGGCTGCTGGTGCCAGGGGCGCAGCCACTGATGGCCCCATGCCATTTGCCGCTTGCCCACAACCAGCCCCAATATCTTCAGTCGCTGTCCGCAGAGTCGGTGCTTCTGGCTGCTCTGGCCATGACCAAACAATAAGCTGCGTCGGCGGGTTGGTGGGCCGGCAGGCATAGGTGGGTATGGCTGGGGCCAGGAGCCCCTGGGAAAACGCTGCTGGGGCACCGTGCCATCAGCTGGCGCACAACCAATCTCACTGCTTGGGGCAAGCGCCACTCGTGCACAGCAGCCTGCGCCCTGATCCTCGCACCTTGTTGATGGCTTGTGGCGTGAAGTACAAGAGGGTGCTGCGCAGCACACAGCAGCAGAACAGCTCTCGCAGCACGGCGCGCACTAGGCCGCAACGCAGCTCCTCCGGCGGCAGGACGCGTGCCACCACCGCATCGGACAGAGCCCGGAGAGCCTGGCAATTGGCGTCGCGGCGTCATGAGTATGTGGGGTCAGGGGGCGGCCACAGTCACGGCCAGTGAGAGGCACACTCGAGGGGGCATGCGATCAAACTGCGTCGAACCACCACTAGCCGCCCTCGCCTTGCCCTGTGCCCTGCCATGCACAGCTTTGCCGCACAGAGCACAGCTCGGACCCCACATCCCCCCCTGGCCCCGCCCCCCACCCGGTAGTGGCCATCAGGCTGCAGGAACCCGGGGTGCAGGCAGCGCTCCTCGGCCATGGCGCCGCGTACGGCTGCATCACGCGCAGCGGTCGGCAGGCAGCGCAAGGCGTCGCGCCCGCCAACACGCGCCACAGCCCGGCGGTACTGCTCCACCACGTCACACAGCGCCTTTGAGCAGTCGCTGCGGGGCCGTAGAGGAGGGGAAGGGGTGCAGAAGCAGCGGGCGGGCATGTTACCACGCGCACCCTGCTAGCAGCTTCTTTGCTCCCTCCAACCTCGCGGTTTAGCCGCCCAGTCGCCCAGCCGCCCAGCCGCCCAGCCGCCCAGCCGCCCAGCCGTCCCCCCCTCCCATCCCCCGCCCCACCTGATCAGCACGTGGCCCCAGTCCACGCGCTGAGACCGCGCGCGGCGTGCCACCTCTCCAAATGTGAAGTTGAGCAGCCGCCGCACTTCAGATGGAAAATCAGTGTCAGGCGCCACGGACGCATACCTTCGCGGCAACGCGGTACCGTCAGTGTGATCATGCCACTGGGCAGCAGCAGGCTAGGCATCAGCTGGCAAGCGGAGCAGGCGGGTTGCGTAAATGAGGCGCGAACCATCACAGCAGCCCGCAAGCACCGCATGCCGGCATGTGCACAGCAGCCACCCTGGGCCTGCAAGCCAGCTGCCTCACCAGGCATCGTACACAAACTCTTGAACTATGGCCGAGCTGAAGCGCTCCCATGCCGCTGCAACCAACGCGCTGCCCACTGCAGCACGCCATGCATCGTTGTCGCCGCACAGCCACGCACGCGGGGAGCGCGGCTGCACACCCAGGGGCGGATGCGATCCCGGCTCGCCAGTGCTGCCAAGCGGCTGGGCTTGATCGGTGTAGAAGTGCGGGCGGTTGAAAGGTGGGTGCCGCCTCACGTCCACGCCGTCCGCCAGCACGCGAGCCCCAAGAACGAGGCAGGCCGCCAGCAACCACCGTGCCAACCAATTCGCGCCCGCCACTGCATGTTTAGGCGGTCAAGCATGAATGCATATGATATGAGTGTCGCATGCCATGTGCGCCCGCCTGCCGCAGTCGCAGGCGCCCCATGCAAATTCGCTTGAGGGAGGGGCAACAGCAGCTGCATGGGTGTGCTGACGTGATGTGCGCCTGCTGCAGACGCTGCACCACATGGGCAACCTCCGCATGAACCATACGCACCCTGAAGTATTCTTGATGCCACCACAATCAGCACCACCAGCTTGGCAACGTGAAATAATGCCCTGGTGCGCAGAGAACTCGACCGAGTCCTCCCGCGCCATGCTTCCAAAGCCCAAGCCGCTTCATGGCCCCTCATAGCGATTCTTACATCGATCTACGCCATCTGGTTAGGTGGCACTCCATTTCACGAGCTTGACTAAGAGATCGTGGTACTACTACTGTAGTCTGCTGCCACTTCGTGCTTTTGAAAAGCCCAAACGCGTGTGTATGCAGGTCATGCTATCCGGAATGTGGTTAAGGATTTGGAGTTTCAGAGTATATATCATGAGCCCGGGCGACTGCTCTTGCAGGGCTGCAGGTTCGGTGCAGTGCTCCACATGCATCTCTCTTCGGGGATGGGCAATTGTCCATCCATTTGCCTGACCTGAGACTTTGAGTCCAGAGCTTGCAGCTAATGCACATCAAGTTTTTACAGATATGATGCAAATGGATGGGTTGCAAGCTTGCAACGTGTAGAATGAGACATGAACGTTCAAGCAGCAACGCGGCGGGGG